GGCAGTGAATATTAAACAATTTCAAATTTGGAGATTGAAAGCAACAGAAATGAACGGAGCGCGCGTATGCAACGGAGATGTCTTAAAGGAAAATGAAAATAAAAAGAACACATACCCATAATCACAAAGAGACAGCTGAAATTTCTTGGACGTATCTTGAGGAAGGACAGCTTCGGGAATTTGATACTCACAGGACAGATCTTTTCATTATTATTCCCAACTTCGATTAATCTCAGAACCATATCAACTTTGTATGAGATTGTGAATTCTTCAGGCCTTAGTGAGGGAGTTTCCTTTCAAGGACATTACCAAACCAGGAATCGAAGCATAGTGCTCCAGAAATGAAAAGCAATCAAGAAAAAAACACTAAAGCAGCAAAGAGAGGCACCCATGAAAACACCACGTTCTCTATCCGGGTCATTTATTTGACGTCACAGTTTTTTTAATTTATTTGCACACACACACACACACGAATGGGCATACATGCTTTTTCTTATTACTGTGATAATGGACTGCTCCTACATGTAAATATGGCAAGTAGCCACATTAGAAGAGGATTTGAGTAGTAGTTGATTTACTTGAGTCTTGCCGTTCTATATATGAGTATTTAATAAAACTCTTCTCCTTTGTTTCCTCTATCTAGTCTTTTGTTCCTTCGATACTCGCTCTAACTACGGCCTTCCTAATTGTCGGTTATTTTGAACAAAGACCACATTATAACAATTACTGAAATGAGGGCATTGACAATGAAAGAGATTCTGTTGAAAAATTAATATTTGTTGTATAAAATAAATTCTTTTACTTTTAGTTTTTTTATACTTTGACTCCGGATTTGTTGATGTCAGCTGGTTTTTACCTGCATTTGATCTGGAAAAATATAGTATTAATTTGAATAATTTTATCGAGTTTTAGGAGTATTGTGTAAATCCAGCTCTTTAACAAACCTTGTCTTTTTGCCATATCCCTGATATATTTATTTACTGTGAAGTAAAAAAGAATTAGTGAAACGCGTCTAAGTGGGATGATTCCATAATCTTTGCTCGGCGTATCATATGCACGCCTTTTGCTTTTGCGAATCGATATCAATGGCGCCGTTTGCAAATGAATTTGTCTAACTTTACAGACACACTAGGATATATTTACTCATGCAGACCCACACACCTACACTGAAATACTATCACATACACATACATGCACTCACAAATATACATACAAGCATAAATACACTAACACTTAAAAGCATACACAAACGCACGCAGACATGCACACACTCTTACAAATACAAAAAAAAATTAAAAAAAAACTATTTTGTATTTTTAAGTAAACGATAAAATTTAAGTAACTACGGCGTATTTGTTTTTATTTTGACAAAAAAATAAGCACCTAACTATAAAGAATTATCATATAACAGCATCATCATATGATTTCATCAGTAAAACTAACCCTGTCTTAATTACTGCTTTACAAATTCTAGGCATTCTTTCAAACAGTTGTTGAAAAAAATTGCAGAACTTCTCAAGCATTCTTCAACCATTGAAAAAGCTCACTCTCACGCGTTGGGTATTCTCTTCGAACTTTTCTATCCAATTCACCCCATACTAACGAGAACGATCAGCAAATTGAAGCAACCGAATCATAATTTCCAAAATATTGTTCTTTTTTTCTTCTTTTTTTTTTGACTCGAGGTAATTTTGACATAATTTAAGCGAAATGGTATAGCATGTCCTTGCAAAATCGAATGATTCTTTCTTAATGATTTCCTTGATCTGAATCAAGTCTACAGTCCTTTTATTAGTCTCAAAATGTCTACTGAGTGGTTAATTGCGAAAATAAAATATATTTCTCATAGAAAATATCCATAATTTAGCAAAATATATTGTGGACAGACGAATCGAAATTTGAACATCTTGATAGTAAAAGGAGCCTGGAGAAAAACTGGAAAAGAAAAATCAAATCTACTGTACTGAAATTTTATCTTTCACTTAAAACGAAATACAAAAATAACTCATTTTAAGGTGTTTTGTAAAGAAATGCAGGGTTTCTCAAAACTTTTTGCCTGTAGTGTACACGCTAACACACACTCACATACAGGTACAATCACACACGCACTCCCAAATACACACAAACACACAAGCGCACGCAGACATATACAGAAATATCGAGGAAAATCAAATTGCATTGCTCTGAAGGACGATGTATATGTTATTGGATCATCCTCTTTTTCTATGTGTCGTATTCCTTCAGGACGTTGGAAATCATGGCTCTCCACAATTTCCTGTCCTTTTTTAACTCTTGGTTCATTTTGTTTTTTTTATCTCTCCTAAACCATGTTCTGCCATCCATTTATACAAACCGTTTTCTTCTGCCCTTCTTGCCTTCAATATCTCTTGTGAGTGTCAAATTATCCTAGCCCTTTTTCTTCATTATGTACTCTAGAAATTTTAAATGTCTCTTTCTGGTGTCAATATCCTTTTTGGCCGTAGATTCTCTAACACTCATGCCAGTGCACCACCTGTGTCTGTAATTTAGACACATGCAACGATAAGGTTCAGTGTGATGAAAGATTCGGGTGTAAACATTTGTCATACCGCAGACGTGTATACGCATTCCTTATGCTCAATTAGAGCCATTTGAGAGGAGCCAGATTGTGAGCTTGGGTGGGAGGTTGATGGCCATTTCAAAGAATTGCTCTGCTTGTTGATAGTGACACATCGGTGATGCTTGGAGGTTGACCCTGGTGGTTAGATAAACATTCCTACGTCTGTAGACTGGGCTGTGAAAGAGTAATTAATTACTTTACTTTATCAAGATCAATTTGATTAAAATTTGATAAAAATGACTCAATTCCAAAACGAAAAGCCAAAGTTTTAGTTTTTCCTTCTTTCATTATACAACGAAAATACTTACAAATGGATTTCAGTTATCTCCGCGTTTCATTGGCGTCATTTCCAAGCCCAAATGGTTGTAAATGGACAACTCAAGTTTTGTATATATCCTTGTGCAAGCTTCTCATAACCTCTGTTGCAGGCCACTTTAACTCAATCTCACTCACACACGCAGACACCCCCACACACATATTTTGAAAGTAACACTCCCAAATGATGAGGTCAGAAGACAAGTAAATTAATTCTTTTCCAACAATTAAATTCATTGTCAGTCAGAAATGAAAACCAGAAATTAAAAACAATATCATCATCTTTCTTCTAACCATAAAATATGAAAGTCATATGGGCAAGTAAATGATTACACGTAGTCGATATTCTGATAAAATAAGCCTTCATATAAGTGCACGGTCTGTGTATGAGCTTTAGCCAGTAGCTGGTGCTGGGATTAATTTCATTGTGTTTAAATATTCCAAGGAGGCATTTGTAATGCCACGGAGATGCGCAAATACGCCTTTTGTTCAATTAAAGATTGTGAAACTTCTACGGAATGGATGCTCATTTAGAAGATTTCCCGCAGATGAAAGACGCCACTTGTCGGCGGTGATTCGATATTGGTAACAGGGGTTAAATGACCATTCGGACATCCATAGATCGGGTACTAAATGGTCAAGTAGTATAGACCATTGTCAAGATTGATCCATTTATAGTTCAGCAACAGTTGCATCTACAGTATAAATCACAGCAAATGTGGCCCCATGAGTGTCAACATGGAAGATTGGGAATTATTTACTTTCAATAGAACTCCGAGTACGGTTAAATCTACCCAGACTTCCACCGTTCCTGGGTATGACAATAAACTTTATCCGACAGCAAGGTTTCCCCTCGAAAGATTGGAGATTTTGAGGATCGTAGAATCACCCCTTTAACTGCTGTTGCTCCCAGGTTTACCCTGACCTGAGAAAATAACTTCCAAACAAAAATCAACAGTATATTTTTATAATAAAATGGCCAAAAGTACATTTTTATAATAAAATGGCCAACAGTACATTTTTTATAGGCAAACGACAATCAATGCAATGATAATAAAATATAAAAATACATTTTTATAGTAAAATTACCAACAATATATTTTATGATCTACATACTATATATCTAAAAGACATACCTTTATTCTGAAATTATCAAATTATGTACCAAATATTTAGATTTCGGCATTAATTAACCCGGAGAGGTTGATATGCCGCTAAACAATATCAACCAACCAATCAACCAACCAGAGTTCCACTTAAGCGAGAAGACCTTTATGCATATCTCTTGTGGTGTGGCCAAAACGGCACCTAGGAAATGGACTAACATTCAGTAGTCTTCAACAATGAGAACAAATTTTGCATTCAGGAATGCAATAGGCGGTTGCGTGTGCAACGGAATCCTAAGTGTACTCAAGAATCCATTCGCTCACGATTCACAAGATCAACTCCGACATCATGGTGCCATAAATTACAACTATCGCTAATGTTTGGTGTTTGAGGAAAGAACGCTGCACTGCGATAATTTCGGCTAGACCATTATTCAACCGGAACTGCTGCCTGGCCTGCAAGAAGAATGTTGTGTACTGTTCTAGCAGGATAATAATCGCGTAAATCATGTCCGAACAAATCAATATGCTTTACATGATGTTCGAAAACAATACTATAAGGCCTAATCGTCAGTCTTGTCTCTCATTGAACGTTTCTGTGACATGATGGAACGATGAATGACATGTTCCGTTTGCCCAGCTACCATCTTTTGCTGGATTGTGGCGCGTTACATTCGGATACTGGGATTTACTGCGAACAAAACATGTGAGTAACGAGGAAGTTTTCAGGAAAATTGTCCTTAGAGGTGAACTTAAAATCAGAAAGGGGCAGTTTATATTTCTGGAAGGACGGCTTAGAAAATTTAATACCCACAAGATGTTACTGAGGAAAGAAGGGGTAGCGAGCATCTTCATGTGTTTGTGTGAATGGATAGCATATGAGGGGACTAGGTAGGCTAGTAAAGAGCTTAGAGCAACAAGAGACAGCAAGATGTAGAGAACAAATGTCGCTCATGTCCTGAAGGGTGCCTTCACAGAAATCATATTCTTATTTGTGGATATGTCATGGCTGCGAAATACATACAAACTGATAGATAGATAGATAGATAGATAGACAGATAGATAGATAGATAGATAGATATGAACATACTGAAATAGATAGATAGGTAAATAGATAGATATGAAGAGATAAATACATCGATAGATACATACATAGATGTATAAATAAATACATAAATATGAACAGACATACATAGATAATGAAGAGACTGAGATAGATAGATAGATAGATAGATAGATAGATAGATAATGGTCAGACTGAGATAGATAGATAGATAGATAGATAGATAGATAGATAGATAGATAGATATGAACATACTGAAATAGATAGATAGGTAAATAGATAGATATGAAGAGATTGATATAGATAACTACATCGATAGATACATACATACATTCATGTATAAATAAATACATAAATATGAACATAGATAGATAGATAGATAGATAGATAGATAGATAGATAGATAGATAGAACTGACTGAACATATATATATATATATATATAGAGAGAGAGAGAGATAGATAGATAGATAGATAGATAGATAGATAGATAGATAGATATCAACAGGTTGATATAGATAAATACATCGATAGATACATACATACATATATAACTAAATACATAAATATATAGATTTTTTAATAATATTAATAATTATAGAGCATTTATTAATAACTATTGCACATCATAGACAAGATTGTTTTACCAATGTCCGCCTGACTTGAAGCAAAGCGACAAAATGGAAAAACCAATGTTTATAAAAAGTGAAACAATCTTGCAAATTCATGTTTTATATATTAAATTCAATCAATTCAACCTTTTCCCATATTTTTAGTTACTTACCCGCTATATATATATATATAGAGATAGATAGATAGATAGATAGATAGATAGATAGATAGAAGTCTTGTACTAAAGAGCATCTCATAAATATCTACAAGAGTATTTGTTATAGAATTGACACTTAACCTGTTAGTCTCGCAAGTTATTGCTCATAGAGCACCTGCACTAGATAAAGCCAGATTTTGTAAATATCCCTGAATTCCGTTCCAATCTTTCTTGCATCTAATCTTATCACAGAGATATGTAGTCAGTCTAGTATAAAATTTAAAAAGGTTATTCAGGACTATATTTGTAATTAGAGATCGCAATCTTTATGAAAAAATGTTCTTATTTAACCTCATTTCTTCCCTTCTTTCTCTTCTTCCTCCTTGTCCTTGTTTTTTTTTTTTTTTTTCCCCTCTCTCCCCTGCTCTCTCCCGGCGCTCTCTCTCTCTCTCTCTCTCTCTCTCTCTCTCTCTCTCTTTTATGAACTTTTCTTCTTCTAACATATTTACTCACGCCCCCGCCGTTCTCTATTCACGCTATTTCAGAGGCTTTTCTCTTTACTTCTCGTTTACATCACCCCCTGTCACCCTCTCTCTGTTCCTCTCCTTAATTTTTCATGTAACAAAGTTCACAGCAGGTAAACGCACCAGACATAAAACAGGTTACTGATTATATAAATACGTAGGTACATCAAAATGTCCCCCAGGCCTAATGAGGCAAAAATCATTAATATCAAACAAAAAACAACTCTTTACTAACATTATTTCTTTCATTGTCCATGCACTTAATTCACATAGAGTTGAACATTTTAGACTAAAATTCAGCTATTACAATAAGCGACATACTTATTGATCCGGTCTCATAGATAGATAGAAAGATAGATAAATAGATAATGATCAGATTGAAATAGATAGATAGATAGATAGATAGATAGATAGATAGATAGATAGATAGATAGATAGATAGATAGATAATGATCAGACTGAGATAGATAGATAGATAGATAGATAGATAGATAGATAGATAGATAGATAGATAGATAGATAGATAGATAGATAGATAGATAGATAGATAGATAGATAGATAGATAGATAGATAGATAATGATCAGACTGAGATAGATAGATAGATAGATAGATAGATAGATAGATAGATAGATAGATAGATAGATAATGGTCAGACTGAGATAGATAGATAGATAGATAGATAGATAGATAGATAGATAGATAGATAGATAATGATCAGACTGAGATAGATAGATAGATAGATAGATAGATAGATAGATAGATAGATAGATAGATAGATAATGATAGACTGAGATAGATAGATAGATAGATAGATAGATAGATAGATAGATAGATAGATAGATAGATAGACTGACCGAAGGATATGTAAGTAGGTAAGTAAAATTAACTTTATGTTCAGTGACAGGAAAAGTAGCGTTCCTGAAAATGACTGCGCAGTTTTACGCGAATTCCTAAAAGAAAGAAATGCTAAATGCAGCCTGGTATTCGGAATGTCTTTTATTTCTCAGCTGATGTGAGAGTTTCAAATATTTGTTCTCGCATGACCACTTAAGCTATACCCTGAAGATGACAATCATAATACGAAGGAGTAACCAAGGTGGGAAATTCTCAGTGAATGTGAACCCCATTCGCGGTCGAAATAAAATTTCATCGGTGCAACAATTAGATTCATTGATACTTTTTTTTTTTTTTAATTTCGTTTCATGCTGACTCAGAATGATATTTGAAATTCTAAACAACTGAGTCGAATTTTCTTCTTTTTTTTAAAAAAAAAACTATTTTCGACTCATGGAAAGAACTAAATGATTTGAAGATTCTTTTCATGATCAGCATTTTTTACATTTTTAATTTATGAATGCTTTCTAGAAATCGACAAACACAAAAAAACAGGAAGTTAATCTAATATAGGAAGACGAGCAGGTAAGACGTCTTCTTTTATCTGTGTACTGTGTAGCTTCAATACGTGGGCGGTCATGACTCCCCAAAATCACCAAACTCTTGTAGCACTTAACGTTTGTCTCTCTTCCAAGACTAACGACCCGTTCTGCCATCTTTTCAAAGTGGCTCAACAGGTAGATGTATCGCTGCCTTCCCTTGAATTTCATGCTCTCGGTATGTCCTGTGAGTGTCAAATTCTCCAAGCCCTCTTTCCTCATGCTAGTTCAAGAAATATCAACTCATTTCTGATTCTGAGTATAAGCGTCCTTTTTATTTCCATTTTCCTTAATTCTTTTTCGTTGCTTACGCGCTCCGTTCATGGTATTCTCAGCATCCTTCTGTAGAACTACATTTTTGTTGACTTCAGTTTTCTATTCAGCTAGTTATTATCAATTCATAAAATGCGTTTTTTTTTGTTTTGTTTTTTGTTTTGTTTTTTTGTTTTGTTTGTTTGTTTGTTTGTTTGTTTTCATCATTCCAACCGGAGCAAGACAGTCATGCCACTAGTGCGCAGAGGGTTACAGAGAGTGAAAGTGAAAGAGAAGACAGAGAATAGGGAGGTTCGAGGAAAAGACAAAAGATGAACGGGGTTCACGAAGACAGAAGATGGCGATCGACGTTGCATTTAAATTTTTGAAGATTGTAGTAATCAAGGAAGCAAGTAAATGGAAGGGAGTTCCACAGCTGGGAAATGCGAGAAAATAAGTTTTTGGCGTAAAAGTGGCGATTATATTTAGCTATTTCAGTGGTAAAAGGGTGGGACCTAGATGCCAATCTAGTAGCACGTTTAAATTCATGTATCCGGTGAACCAGGGAAAAAGCTGGTCAGAGGAAGTTGCCATGAAAATATTTGTAGAAAAGACAGAGGGAAGCCAGGTCACGTCGGTGAAAAAGTGACTGAAGTCGACATGCCTGGCCAGGATTTTGTCAAGAATCTCAAGATGTACGGCAGGAGCACCAGACCAGATATGGCAACAGTATTCAATGCGCGGACGAATGGTAGATCTGACAAGATGGATTCTGACAAGAAAAAAATTCTGGCACGATAGTGACACAACTTTCCTTGCAGAAGATGCAACTATTGATTCGATGTAGTCGTTTCACTTCAAGTCAGTGGAAAACATGCGGCCAAGAAGGCACAGTGTTTTACTCCCGTGGAATCTATTATCAGCCATGCTGATGACAGACAGAAAATGTTCTCTATGGCGGTTAAATAAAAGCAGTTTTGTTTTGCAGGCGTTCAAATTTACAAGCGATTCCTTGACCCAGTTAGCAACTGATTCGATGTCCTTTTCAAGAGCAGCTGCCAGTTTTACAGGCGTTCAAATTTACAAGCGATTCCTTGACCCAGTTAGCAACTGATTCGATGTCCTTTTCAAGAGCAGCTGCCAGTTTTACTTTGTCAGATTTGACGGATTTACTATTGAGACAAGAGTAAATGGTAGTGTCATCTGCATAAATACCTACTTGCGAACTGATGACATTGATGAGATCATTGATGAAGATCGAAACAGCGCAGGACTCAGGATAGAGGCTTTGGGAACACCCACGTTCGTGTGAAAGGATTTGGAAGCCAGCCTGTTCAAAATTAGATTTTTTTTTAATTTTTACAGCGAAACGATCCTAAGATCCTATCAGAATTTGCTATCAGCCACGGTAATCTTAACAACATAAAATAGGCAGAGGATACTATGTTGATGGCAGACTAGGACAACTACAAAAATCTTAGAAAAGTTTGCAAAGGAAAGATAATAAAGAGAATAACTATTAACTATATGAAGACAGAATGTATTTTCATCAACAAGAGAGGCAGCCAAAGGTATGAACTTCGAATTTTTGCTATTGCTAGTATAGCAGTAGAAATTGTGCCTTCCAAAACTAATCACGTCTGAGCATTGACTAGTGTAGGGAATTCGATCCTCACGAATATCATATTATTCTGGCTTCCACCACATTAAGTTAAACTTTGTAAATATTCTATAATATGAAACTTTAGGTGAATTTATGTATTTATCGGTTACGCAGTCTGACTTTCTTTTATAAGAGATATTACGTTCTTATAGTAACAAGTGGTATTACTCGACGACGCTAGAAGTGAATATGACTAGTGTCATAGCAAAAGTATCTCATTATTAAATAATGAGATTATGTTGACAATACACTGATTTTTGTTTTGTTTCAGTTTTTTGAACAGGAGTAGAGATTTATCCTTTGTTTCCTTCTAAAATTTACATTAACTTTATATTCTGACGTCTCCACCTAAATTCTGAAATTTTATTTACTATTTATTCCGCAACAGGAGTAGATAGGTTTGCCTATCACCCTGTTCAAACACCTCCCCGGTATTTTGAACGGAAGTAGAGGTTTATCCTTTGTTTCCTGTTTAGGATTGGCTTTCTGATTCCATCTAAAGTCTTCTCATTCTCTTTCACTCTCAGTAGTCCCTTGCGTTTCAGTGACATTATCGCCTTGCTTAGGGTGAACGGATAAAAAAAGGTGTATGAATACAAATCCTAGATTACTCGTACAGAAAATTTAAGCAACGCAATTGCAAAATTACTCAGCAATAACCGTTATTTGTTTAAGTCGCAAGGAAATCATGTTGATATTGAATTCAGTAAAAATTGGAAGAATCTTAAATTGGTAAAAACGTTTATTTAAAGATGGATTATCGGTGCATAAGAACAAAAGATGAATGGGTGAATAGTGGATACCAGCTGATTAGGACAAAACCAAGATAAAATAGTGTTGTTGTCCGTCTTGATTATCAGCTTACATCATCCACTAAGATCGGCATTTTGTAATGACTATGAGTGAAACAAATCCAAATAAAATGTTCTTCTTCTTCTTGACGTAGGCGATCATGGCTCTCCACAACTTCTTGTCCCTTGTAGGTCTTACTAAAGTTTGTCCCTCTTATTCCTGTTCTGCCAACCATTTACACAATCTCGTTATGTAGGTTATTCGCTGTTTTCCTGTGTACCATGTTCCTTCAACATTTCTTATGAGTATCAAATTCTCTAAGCCCTCTTTCCAGATATAACATCATCTCGCAAATGCTTCTCTAAAGATCTGAACAGCTGGAAGTAACGAAATATTATTTTTAACTCACTTTAAAAAAAAAAGCAAAAT